TGATAGTACCTGGATTTGAATCCCAGTCGAGACTCAGTCGTCTTTCTTTGCGTTTCATTCTTTTCGACTGATGAATAACAGCCGTTCTACAATTTTTTATTCGAAAAGTGTTCCTGTGTTAAATCTGCTTCTGATTGTTACATTAGATAATATCAGTCTTTTTGCATTTCACATGAGATATTAATATCATTTCTTGTTAGACTAAGAAAATTTTGTTGAAACTTACGCTAAACTAGTAACTTTGGATACATATTTTCAGAACATGCAGCATGTAAATGTCAAGAACGCAAGTGTTTCATGCGTGTTCACTGTTTCAAAAAGGTAAATAATAAAATTTATACGTGTTCAAAAGGTGTAACATATGATTTCACGTCATTAATGAAACATTTTTATATTTATGTGTTATAATGCTAAAAAACGTTATGACTGCCCTAGTCGAACTTTTTTATTCAAGCGCTTGCCAAGACTTGGGTTCAAGATGTGTCCATAGCGCATGACTTTCTGTCCACAGACAAGCGCTTGAACGCTTGCATGAATCATGTGTCCAGAACAAGACACTCATGCGCAGAACTCAAGAAGATTCTATGAAGGAATAGTTTGAAAGGAATCAATTTGAATAAAACAACGACGGCTCTTCTATCCGAGATTCAGTGACGATCCTTAGAATTTACAATATCTAAATCTGATTACTGATTTGGATTAGCTTCGGGTTTTCTTTCTTGAAATATTTTTTTTTAAATATGAATATTTATTAATAATCGGTCATTGTGAAGGTTAAATTGACAGAAAAAAGAACAAAAATTAGTTTGGAGCGATATTAATTGAATTATTTTCAGTATCTTTGAATGGAGACGTATTGCTGGTGTTAGTATTGGTAGTTGAAGTTCTAATTGTTTTAAAAATTTCGTTTCTTTTGTGATCATGTTTGAGCTGACGAACTGATTCTTTGACTACTTGCCATGCTTCAGCTAATGCTTCTTCATCATCTTGTAACGTTTTGTCACGTTTTTTCATCACATCTAAGAAAAAAAAAGACATTAATATTTTATTTGCAAATCAGTAAGTACTTACCTTTCAGTTCTGTTACCTTCTCTTCATCACATAATACGGCATTTGGATTAGACGCATAACCAGCAGCACGAAAGATTTGCCTAATGAAACGTGTATGTTCGTTGAACCCAAACGGAAAATTACTAACATCAACTCCTAATACAAACTAAAACGACAGAATTTAACCTTATCAGTGGCGGATTATTCACTTACTTCTGGTTCTGTAGGTGGTGATGGTCGCGATGAAAATGCTGAATTGACGATATTCGACAAGTTCTTATTCTAAATCATAGATGCTATAAGTATAGAGTGAAATAAATATAGTCAACTCACTTCCCTAAGAATTTTTCGATTTTTCAATATGCGAAAGGTTTTTTCTAATGCTTTTAATCGATTTTCAACCTTGAATTGATGCAGCAAAAATTCTTTTTGCAGATTCGTAATTTCAACAGTGGCAACTGAATTTGATGTTGATTGTTTTGAACGTAACTAAATTTAATAGTAGATACAGAGAAAAATTTGACAAATCGTATAATGTACCGTTCGTTTTCGTTTCTTTTGAGTTGATTTTTTTTTTAATATTGGTATATATTCTTCATCATTGTCTTCTTCACAAATATCGCTCATTTCATCAACAACATTCGAGTGAACACCTAAAAAAGATAAATAGATTTTCGTAAGACAAACAAAATAAAATTATCACATGAATTTTCTTGATTATTTTGTTGGACACTTAGATATTCATCAATTAGTAATGGTTTAGGTGATGAATCGTTTGACCAACCTTAAAAAAAAACAGAATAGATTAATGACTGGTGAAGAAAAGGAAGATGGTTTAACTATTGTATGTTGGCAAAAATTTGTGCTTTCGAAGAAAAACTACCTACTTGTTTTTTTTTCTGTATTGTTTTTATTTTGATTGATCGGTGTCATATTGTCTATGTCGTTATCCATATGATCACCACCTTCGGTTACCATACACTTTGTCGTATGCTGAACACGCTGGTAGCCAGTGACCAAACTGAAATCTAGATCAGGCTCGATAACATTAGACATTGAACGAGTATCTAAAAAAAAATGAACATTTTCATATGGAGGAGTTTTTTCCTACTCGTTGTTATTGATGAATATTGACTACTTTCATTGTTGTAGAAATTCTGAGTTGTATAAATGTGGTTATTATCAACTAATTCGTCTTCGTCATCATTATCAGGACGTACATCAACTTCTTCACTACCTGTATCACGACTAAATTGAGACGCTCTTTCTTGACATTTACTACGACTTCCTATTACAACAAAAAAATAAAATAATACACTAAATATCGAAGATATAAAGATTGATATACCTTCAGCAATAATACGAACTGGTTGAACAAAACCTGATGATCGAACGGTTCCATTTTGTGTATCAATGACATCGATGGTCACTTGATGCTTCGGAATTATTGTATGTTTATTTTTTTTTGGAAAAGAAGCTAGAACATAAAAATTTGGATCATAACGTGAATTTGGTTTTCTAATTCGTTGTGGTCGTTGCATTAGAATATTGATAAAATTCTGAAACAAAAATAAACAAGAGAAAAAAAAAAAAATAAAAAAAAACTAAAAAAAAAAAAAAAAAAAAAAAAAAAAAAAAAATAAAAAGAACTTAAGCAATTACAACTGACTACATGTGTCTAAAAACTTATATATGCATACTATCTAGTCGTGTTCAAAATCGAACTCAACTGCTGTAAACGAACAAATATTATTTTTAAGAGTAGGAATCCTGATCACTTTTTTCATGATCCCAGACACTGACAATATTTTGAAGAAAAATACGTTTTCATCAAAGAGTCTGAAGTATGAATCAATTATTTTTTCCACTAGAGACGGAACTGATCGTTGTAAGCCAGATAATAAACTTTGTGAGAGACATGGATAAATTTTTACAAATGCATAATACTGATGGCGCAAAGAAAAATAAAAAATAACGGATGCAAAACACAGATTATCTTTTGAACACGATGAAGATTCAATAGATACAAAGTGACTAATAGAATTACCTCGACGTGTATAAGAAACTGAATGAAAACAAATGAAACCACGAAAATATCGAGAATAAAACATACATTCTGTTAGTGAGGCGGAAAACGATTGCAAACATTCAACAAAATCACGCTGAACAGATACAATCAAATCATTATCGACATAAGAAGGAGAAAAAGTTTCTTTTGAGAAGATATCAGAAAGAGAAATTGAACTAGATTTATGAATATTTTGAGATATATCATACCAAGTAACGAGTTGACTTAGCACGTGCTTTGTTCCTTTACACCAATTTAATACATGTGCTAGATATGATTCACGAGCAAAACAAGATGTAAAACATAAAGCACCATGAGAATAGACTTGCGAAAGTAAGTGAGAGTGATAGTGTACAGTCGCGAGTTCTGAACGTTTTGAATACAAAGTGGAAATAGATTCATAGTATAAAGAAAATAAACTGTCAATACCAAGCAATTGTTTTTTATCTGTAAAGAAGTAAAGTACTTTAACGAAAGTATAATAAAGAAGAAAATGTACAGAGTAGTCATCTGGTAGAAAGTTAATCACAAATAAGGGAGATACATATAAAAAAAAATCTCGCAACATTTTTGCTTTCCAGTTACAAAAATCAGATAGTGAGAAAAACTGATATTTGAAAGAGTGCGGAAGAATAACCTTAGATAAAAAGACTGAACCACTTTCAAAAACGTCCTTGGAAAACATTTCTTTCCATGACTTTAAGAGTGTTTTAATATGTCCATGATATACTAAATGCATTGAGTCATATGGGATTTGGTTTGGAAGTAATAGAATGGACGATAACGGTGTAGAACCTTTTATCTCTTGTTTTGGTCGATAAGAATCAAATTTAGAGTTTTTTAAGTAAAACTGATGATCTTTTAGCTTTTCAGGATTCTTGGAAAATGGAAAATAGATCTGTCGACCAATTGCAACACCTAGAAACATACAGATTATGAAATAATATTAATACAAAAAAAATACTCAACTTTGATGCAACAATCACCACACCCGTCATATCCATTATATTGAACAATATTTAGAAAATGTGCTCGAGCTGGAAGATCAAAAATTGCTTGTTGTATACGAACATTGTACGACAAACTAGAACCTAATATAAAATGTTTACATAATGTTAACATAAGAAAAACATTACCGTCATTTTGTTTCAAAATAATTTCCGATCTCATGAGTAATTCTAACTGAGTAATAATCGGAAGAAGTAAATGATCACGTGGTGGTTTTGTTCTTGCAAGCCAAGCACCAAAAAGCATCACAGCTGACTTACAATCTCGTATTGGAGTTGGTATTTCCGCGATGGTTGCTTGAACAGGCCATACTGATTTATCTGAAAAATAAGAATGCTATTGTAAAGGTATAAACATTGGTGAACGATTCACTGAATGATAAGCTTATTACAATGAAAATAGAAAAACAAAAAGTAGTGTTTAGATTCCAAAAGAGATACATTAGCATATTAATAGTTTTTCAAGTTAATTTAATATTCTTTGAATTATTTCATTTATGATTAGAGTGACAGGGATTATGAACAAATCAAAGTAGCTTTCATGATTATGTGAATAATTAGTACTAAAAAATATTCAGCTAAATTTATATGATACTGACTAGAGACGTTGACAACGGGTGCACCATCGCTATGTAATATAATAGTAATATTCCGGTGATTTTTATTAGATGGCAGTTGACGGTAAATGTTGCCTAAAAAATCAAATACAATACATAGTTTTAAGATTCATCATCATACTGGTGATATAATCCGGAGGACATAGATGTGCAGCTTTTCTTGGATATTCATTGATAAGATTAATATGACGTTCAGCTACTTGTTTGATTTCACGTTGAACATTCATAATGGCTAATTCAGCAACTTGAGAGTAGGATCGATATTTTCCATTAGAATTACATGTGTTTGAACATTTTGATTGATCAGATTTCATTAAAACTTCACCACAATTTACACAACGAACAGATACCTGTGAAATTTAATATAAACATTGATAAAAATATTTTTTTCTTCAACAAACCTGTGGACGATCATCATTATCTGTTAACTTGAATAACATAAAGACAGTTTTTGGAAGACGACAGTCGGAAGGAAAAAAAACACGCAGTTCTTTGAGTAGCATTTGTAATCGATTTTTGTTGAGATTCAGCAAATGTGTTAATCGAATTAGATGCACACAAGCATCATAAACAGATATTGGACTTCCATCATATAGTGGAGTTGTCTTGTTCCGATCTTCATTATTTATTTGATTGGTAAAATATTCGGTATCTATATCTTCATCAGCACCATGTTGACTATCATAATTTCCATTAAAACAATGTGTAGGATCTTCGAAATCAGATTCTATTTCTGTTTCTCTTTCTGATGAAACATAACGTGAAGATGAATGTTGATTCACATAATTATTGACCACTGATTCTTCATCCTGATTTAAATTTATTTCTTCATCGGTATTTGTTGCTTCAAGGACACCCATCTATCATAAATCATGAAAACATAAGAATAAAAAATTATTATACGATACGTACTGATTGAAAAACCTTCTGAATCTTGTTTCTTTGTCTACGCGAACGCCATTCTCGTTTGACATTTGAGTGTAAACGTCGTTTTGGTGCTGTATCACTCATCTGAAACAGAAATAAAATATAAGAAACTTTTATATATCACTAAAGTTTCAAATGACAATCATAGTTTCTTCAGAGTTCTGTGAGTTAACATTGTTCATCTTATCTTACTTTTTAGCTAAACAGCTTTTATGCATTGCCTGATAATTCACATACATTTTTTGTTAATTATCTGTTTTTCTTTATTCCACATTTCGCCTAGTTAGAGAACGACGTACTTTTTAGTCAAGTGAAAACGAACGAACGAATGAATGGTTTATTAAAAGAAAAAAAGAATTTATCCAAAGAGAGAAAAGAAAAACAGACAATGGTCGTCTTCCTTGGAAGACGAATATAGAAAAAAACAAAGAAAAGAAGAAAATGTCCTTAAGTTAACCGAAAAGAAGAAAACACGAACACGAAATAAGTCCTTAAGTTAAAAGAAAAAAGATGAGTCAATGTATTAACGAAAGACGAAATAGACGAACAGATAGAATAGAAAAAGAAAAGATGATGTCACATAGCTATGTGTGTATAACGATTGAGGAATAATCATTTATTATGTAACACACCTTTGTAACGTTTATTTCGAGAAAACCAATCATAGTATCCATTTTCTTATCGGGGCATATTCACTTACGATTATCATTCAGTAGCTAATAGTTAGCGACATCTCCAGGATTAATAACTAAAACAGGAAAAACAAGCAACATCTCTATTATGCATGCACTTGATGCTTGCTTGATCAAGAAACATAAATGCTTGAACAAGAACTCAAGTACATGAACAAGAATCGCAAGCGCTTTAGTTTTTTTGTGGTCTCAAGTCTTGACTCAAGATGTGTCCATAGCGCATGACATTCAGACTCAAGAAACTCAAGAATGTCATGCGCTTCCTGAAAAATGTTCGACTAGGGTGAGTGCTGTGCTGAAATTTTCTATCAAAGATTTATCATTATTAGCATTATGCCTACGGGAAAACTCTAGATTTATGTCAATTTCCAATGATGAGATACGAACACTGAAGTTTACTTAGCATACCGAGTTTTTTCTGACTGATGAGATTGATAAAATATTAGATACCTCACTGCTCGAACTGGACATTATTTTTCTTTCTGAAACTCACTGCTATATAGACACACAAAAAGTTTAGTTTGATCGGACGAGCCATTGTTGGGATACAGGGTTTGTGAAATACAATATTTGTTGAAGTCCTGATTTTTAAGGCTTTTCGTGAAAAACTAATATAAAATCAACAGTTCAATATTATTGAAAAATGCTGGCAACTAAACTGATAAGCTACCAATAAGCCTAATTCATGGTAAATGGAGCGAATTTGACGTTCTTAGTTGACCAGAGTCAGTTATCACTCATATAGATTCGTTCATAACATGAAAAGTGTATGTATTATTGTCACATTATCTTTGTGTTTGACAGAATTTAAAAAGGCAAACTATTATCTTTCATTAGTGACAAAAGTGGAAGGAGAGACGATAAACTGTACAGACTGTATTCGTCATAAGTTCATGATTTTGCAGTGGTGTGTATGTTTACCGATCTTTTTCATCAAAAAAACGTGAATGATGAATTTTTCTTCATGCACTTCATTATGCTGTAACTAAAGAAAATTTTCAATCTTTTCAGCGTAGTTTTAGATCATGTTCGTTTTAATTGAAAATCTCTCGTGTTTAAAAATAATTAAAACACAGTTCTTCAATCCCTCTCTGTTCTTTCTTTATCATAATAACATTTTATCTAGATATGCATTATAGTACGAATCAAAAAAAAGTTAAATATGGAGTCATTTCATCTCGGACATTGATCATCATTGGCATTGGGTTATTAACGTTGGCAATTATTTTTGTTCAAGGCCAGTGGCTAACAACATTAACAACATTTAAGAATTATATTTCAATAAGTTCTGGAAGTGATTCTCAAACGCTTTGTTCACGAAATTCGAAAAACTCCGATGAAATTTGTCAATGGTACTTTTTAAATTATACACCAAGTTCATGGGAAAAATTTTGGTTTACGAATATTGAAGAATTTCAAAATAATGTGTGTGAAAGAATAGCAGATGAGAAAAATCTAAATAAAACAATATTAACCGTTGAGCGATTGATGGAATTACAAAAACTTGGAAGAAATTGTACCGGAAGCGATAAACAACAAGCTGATGAGCTTCTATCGAAAATGTTTTATCGACAAGAATGTGTCAACTCACTAACAAACGTATCATTTCAAGAAGCAGAAGTGTCACAAGTAATTGAACCACTCATTGGTTTGCTACGAGATCCATTAACGATATGTAATCGCATTAATTCATTACCTGCCTCTGCTTATAAAGGAGCAGGAGTTCAATCAAAACGATTTTTCTTATTATCAGTATCAGCTCCATTTTATATTCATCCATTACCACAAAATCATAAAGATACTTTACAAATCAATATTCAGTCAAATAAACGCAACATGAACTTACCTCCTTGGATGTATCAAAGATCAAAATTGAATTTGCTAGACATGGAATTTGATCTAGAGACGAGAAACGGACAGAATATTTTGATTGATTTGGGAAGTTCTTATTTCGGAAGTTGGGGCGGTGATACTAGTGCCGCTGCTGGACGCTGGTTCTATGAGTATTACAAGCGTTTTGGTGTTAAATTCGATCGTATTATTGCTTATGAGCATTTCCCATTAGATTCCAAAAAAGTTTGGAATCAACTGCCTGACGATGTTTTCTCAGTTTATACTCTGATTAATGTTGGTTGTGCAGCAAGTGGCAAATTCAATCCGTGGGTAATGCTGAAAGCAATGGCTAAACCACATGATCATGTTGTTATAAAACTAGATATCGATACTCCGGCAATTGAGATTCCTCTCATCAATCAACTGTTAAATGATTCAACCATTAATTCTTTAGTAGACGAACTATTTTTTGAACATCATATTACTGTGAGAGAAATGCGACCATATTGGGGAAGTCCACCGGGAACATTAAGAGACTCGTATATTTTGTTTACAAAACTGCGACAACTTGGAATACGTATGCACTCATGGCCATGAGATTGAGTTTTTGGACAACAAGAATCAGATCTAGAAACTAAACTCAACTCAAATCTTTTTGTGAGTCTACCAGAAAAAGTTTTATATCATAAAAACCTTTTCTATTTCATATATGATAAGTCGAGACAATTAACATGCATACGCAGTAAATAAAACATGCTTCACTGTTAGGAACTAATTTTCTTCGAACTGAATGAATGAAGTCTATAAACATATGTTTATTTGTGTGAAACACAGCAGTGGACAACAAATCGATCGGTGAGATAAATGCACATTTCCAGCGGAAAAATGCCATCCACGTCAAAAATGAATTTTTTATCCATTCTGTTCATAAAAGACGACCGTAACATACATATATGCATATACGTACACATTTCATTTGCATCTTATTCTTCTATGATTACCATTCAGAAAAGGAATACGTGTGACCCCCCCCCCCCCACACCCTTTAGACACTAAAATTTACGTCATATCACAGATCATATAATTTTCACCATTAAGTTGACAATCTACAAGATACTATCACCATGTCATAACTACGGCTAACCGACAATAAAACCATTTATCTCCTAAGATACAGAAAAAATGCGTTTCTTCGAAAAAATTCTCTTCCAGCGGTGAGCATAACTGCAACTGATTTTCATTTTTCACCTACAATAATACTATATACTATAAGAGTGCTATACTTCCTTTGCACAAGTCTAACTAAACGCAATCTTCTTCAATGACACTAGGTTACTGAACCTATCTACATCATTTTCCTGTACAACTGGGAAGTTTTTCCCAGACTTGTTGCTTTCGCGTGAGGTATTATCTTTTCTATTTCATTTTCTCTGTTTGACACTACTAACCATTATTTCGACCATTCTCAATTTTTCCATCAACAGGTATCTATCTACGAATTGAACTATTCAACAATTTTTCTGACACATTACCTCATTTATTCATTTCCTGATTTCATTTATCTTCTAGCGGTACCCACTATTCCAAACACATCTTCACTCTCCCTCTCACACAGTATCTATATAGGTATTCAGGTACCAAAAAATCTTTCCAAAAAAGAAGACCAGATTGTTTCATTTTTCTATTCCATTTTTTCCTTAGAAACCTTCATTATTCCTATGCATTTTCATTTTCCCACTGTACTAGAATCTATATAGCTATTCACATATGTAACACTTTTCTCATAGAAGAAATCATTTTTTCATTTTTCGGTTTCATCTTTTCTGTAGAAACCTTCATTATTCCTATGCATTTTCATTTTTCCGCTGTACTAGAATCTATATAGCTATTCGGATATCTAACACATTTCTCATAGAAGATATCATTTTGTCACTTTTCCATTTCACGGTTTCTATGGACATCTGCATTATTCCTATGAAGTTGCTTTTGTCCGCTGAAATTGTATCTGTGTATGTGTTGAAGCATCTTACGGCTGACCATTTTTGACTGGAGCGACATTTTTCCGCTGGAAGTAAGCATTTATGTCACCGATCAATTCAATGGCCAACCCTCAGGTATTGATGAGACAAAACTATGTAGAAAATTTCATCGCGATCGGACTCTCCTCTCGAAAGTTATCATGTAAACGGCCGGCCGGCCGGCCGGACACACTGACCGATTCCAGAGTGTACTCACTTTTTGAGTACACAAAAATGATTAGAGCTTCTATTTTGTTTTGAAATTTAAATAAATGTGAAAACCTCGAATTTAAGTCCAAGAGTTATGTGTATTTCAAAAAGTGAATGAGACAAATCAGTCATCCTAGAATGTGTGCAAGGAAAAATTATCCTGGCAAACCTTACCTATAAACACTCGATTTCTATTGGCTATTGTTCAACCAATAGGATTTCAAGGCAAGTGGAGCACAGATCCGAGTTCTTCACCTCAGAAAATCTCGAAGTATCACCTCTGTGATCAGAAGATAGAGCTCCAATTGATCCACAATTAGAGCTTGGACAA